TCTTCGCATGGGTCTCCACTCTACGGCAGGGCTGCTGCGGTGCGAGTCGGCAACCAAGGCGGCGGGGAAGGCCAGGAGGGACTGGGGGAGAGGGCCGCGGACGGCCTGAGCGCCCTCAGAGCGTGAATCACTTCGGGGTGTGCCCGAGGCAGGCTCGGGCCCTCGTAGCTGTGAGTGCATCTGCACAGGCGCTTTACACTGCGAAGGCCTTACGGCCTGTGCCGCCGACCCTGAAGACGACGACGCTGACCACGACGAGGTAGGAGGAGGAGGAGGAGGAGGAGGAGGAGGAGGAGGAGGAGGAGGAGGAGGAGGAGGAGGAGGAGGAGGAGGAGGAGGAGGGGGAGGAGGAGGAGGAGGAGGAGGAGCAGAGGAGCAGGAGGAGGAGCCGCATGATGAGGTTGTGGCACTTTTTCCAGCCTTGGACCCCCCAGGGGGGGATGGGTATTTCGGGGTCTGCCCGAGGCAGGCTCGGGCCCTTGTGGCTTTCAGTGCGTCTGCACAGGCGTTGCATGGTTCAAGCAAGGGAGTGCGTCGTGCAGAGGTCAGACGATATCCAGTCCCAGACATGCGACGTCCTGATTTTTGCAGGACGGCGTCCCTGGAAGTCCAGACCCTTTCCCCTTGGGCCGGCTTTTCATCCTGAGTCGTTTTTTGACTGTCCTGGGGCCCGGCGAGGGCCCCCAATGGCCGAAAATAGGGAAAGTCTTGCCGTCCTGACCTTTTCGCGACGCGATCATTCCTGGGGCACGTAGCGAGAAGGCCACACGGGCTGCCGGGGCACGCAGCGGCTAGGGAGGGAGCGAGGCCAACAGCGGCAGGGCGCCACGCGAAGGCGACCCCAGGGCGGCACCCGGATTGGACAAGGCAGGTCGTCGGAGGTCCCGGGGCATCTGCTCGTCGGCACGGGCGGGACGCTGGCAGCGCCCTGCGCGGAGGCCCCGCGCCTGGCGGCGCCTGGCGCTCCGAGCGCCCGGGAGGGGACCGGGCTCGCCACCTCGGGGGCGCCTCCGGGACCGACGAGATGTGCAGGGGCACCCTTCGGGAGGATGGGCTCGGGGGGCGAGAGTTTCGTGCGCTTTCGCCGCTTCCTGGGAGTTTCCAGCCTCGGTGTCGCTTCCTAGGAGCTTCCTGGGAGCTTCCTGGGAGCTTCGAGCTTCGAGGTCCATCGCGCGCTTGCGTCGCCTCCTGGAGACCTCTCCAGCCTCGGCGTGCCGCCCAGCAGCTGCGCATTCGCGGAGGGTGTCCCTGCAGGTTGCCCAGATCGCCCCGAAGAGCTGCCGGAGAGCCGAGCTATGGCCGCCGGAAGGCCACTAGGGCACTGTTGGGCGGAGGGCAGGCTCTCAGGGCGGGACGCATCGACCCCACGGGCGCCGAACTCAGCGCGGGTGTGGGGCCCGATGGCCCACCTCGCCCCGGGGGCGTGCCATGTCGCTGTCGGCGATGCACCGCCGATTCCGTGCCGATGTTTCCCCGGCCCTGTTCTTCCCCCCCCGAGCTGGTCCCCCCCTGTCGTTCCCTCCGAGGGTCCCAGGGGGCCTCTGGGCGCGCCGACAGGCTCCTTCTGGGAGCCCGGAGAGCCGAAGGAAGACGCCCCCGAGATGGCCCCGAGCCAGGTCGTGAAAAACGCGAGGGAGACTTCTTGCAATTTGCGGCCTCTGTGGGCCCTCCTTAAGGGATGGGCTCGACATGTCCAGGGTTTCACGTTTTGAACAAATCATGACGCCGGGGGTTTTGGGAGCGCCCCCAGAATGTCGCGAGCTGCACCTGGGAGAGCCGCGCATGGCGGACAGACCGCAGGTTTTATCCGCCAGATTCTATGCTCTCTGACGCTCTCCCGATCTTCACGCCTTCGGTGAGCCCCCAGAGTGCCCCTTAGAAGGCCCGCAGAGAGTCGAAGGCAGTGCCTAACGAGGCCCCCAGACAAGGCCCGTGAGATGCCCCCAAAGCTTCAGAGTTCGATTTGTCAGATCTGCAAGGCCACGATTTCGACAACAAATCCTCCAATGCAAACGTGGTCTTCAGAACGTGAACTTTGTGACGTTCGCTCGGGAGTGTGGAGGGAAGGGCAGGTACAAGATATCCATAGGATTGCGATGAGAATTCTGGAGCTCGGCAGAGATGACTGTAATCAGGCAGCAGTAGTAGTATCGGACATCAACGGCCACCATGACAATGTTAGATCTGCTCCTACAGTGCGAGGAAAGAGATTGCAAGGGCCGGTTTGAGAGTTCGCAATGGGCTAAACGTGTTGAGTTCTGCATGAGACACGAGGACTTTAGACCAGAGCCTCGACTGCAGGAGTGCTCGCAACGTTTCGGTTAACGGTACGATTGCTTCGGTCAAGAATTGAGGTGGCACGACGAAGTGGGTGATCTTTCAGCTGAGATGAGATCATGTACGCTGGCCTGGTCTGGCAGCGCCATCGAGTTTTGCCAACGCAGCGGGCTCGCTTTGCGACCGATGCACCACATCGACGGGGCGCTTTGGCAATGCTTTGGACCACAAGCTATGCATGCAAGAAGGGGCCGGGACTTTTCACAGCAGCCTGCAAGGATTACCATCCAGCAGAATGGGTTGATGATTGGAGACATGTTTGGGAACACATTTTGCAACCAGTTGCTGGGGCCGCTTGCTCATGCCACGGAGAGCCCCTGGGAATCCATCAGAAAGGATTTGACGAGCATCATAGCCGTTTTCTGCAAACACAGACGGGTAGTATGCAATCACATATACTGGTTTTGGCGCGATACAGAACATTCGATGCAATGGCCCACGGAATCATTCGGTCGAGGTGTGTTACATGGGTCCCCAGTCAAAGAGTTTGCAACACACAACGACGACGAGCACAGAACACTGATGGCGACAAGGTTGGGCATCCTTTTTCGGGGGACTTCGCAGACGACCAACTTCGAAGCACATCAAACACCCATACATATGTATGTATATATATATATATATACATACGCACCATCAACTGGCAATGGCTCTAAATCTGCATTATCCCATCTTTCTCTGGGTTCATCCACATTCTGAGACACGGTGATTCGATTGCTGAGCCTGCTTGGAGAGAAACAATGTCATCACTCCTGCTTGCAATGACAGCAGTTGCACCGAAGAGAAGCGTAACACGGAAAAGGGTTGGTCTCAGGGATACCGTTGGGCGGCCCCGAAAGGCACCATCTATACACAAACAGTTAGCGACCTCGCCCATAGGGTGTATATGCACTTAGAGTGGTAAAAGCTGTGAACCGTGATTGTTCGTATCACGTCGGCTTGCGATGAGTTGCGGGGGTTCGCTACTAACATCGAAGAGAGACACACATGCTCCAATGGAACCAGCAGGTCTCCAAGGGCCACTCGAGAGGCCTTACAAGGTTCCCAGGAAGGACCCCAATACATCCGAAGAGGCACCCAGAAACCTTCAAGAGTCTCTGAGAGAGCCTCAGTAGACGAAGGCCCAAGAAGCTGCAACATGCCCCCTGAGGGTAACAATAACCCGTCAAGAGGTCCCACAACACGTCCCCGGGAAGGGTCACAAAGCGCTCCAGGAGGCCCCCAGCATGCCCTCCAGAGGCCCTCCTTCTCTTATCACTTCTTCCTCTTCCTTCTGTCCCCCTCTAAACTCCCGATTTTCCTTGGACTCTCTAAGAAGGATGCGCGCAGCTCGGGAGCCAACATGTGGCGTCCTGGCTCTCTCTCTCTTCTTATTTGTTTACCTCCTCCTCCTCCTCTCCCGTTTTCTCCCTCCTCCCATCCTCCTGTTCTCCACCATCGTTCCTTCTCCCAGCCCTTCTTCCGTCTTGCCCAGCCTCCCTCCTCAATTTCTTGTCTTTTCTGCCCTCGTTCCCTTTCCCTGCTCTTCCGTGCTCCCCTCGGTTTCTTCCACCCTTCTGCCCTGTCCTCCTCACCCTTGCTTTTCTCTTCCTACGGGAGTTTTGGGGCGCCTTACTGGCATCCCTTTCCCTATCATTCTTTCTTTCGCAGGCCATAACCACATGTGCTCCAAGGGTGGGTATCGTGGCACTATCAGATCAACTGCGTCGGTTTCCTCAGTTTCGACATCCAGAGGCAGTTTTCGGCCCCCCCCAGTGAGCAATCAACATATGGATGCGGAGCGAAAAGTTGCCCCTGGGGGAAGGGGCCGAGTCTTCTGGGGCGCGCGGCTTGCCCAAGGCGGCCCTGGCTTTTCCAGGGAGGCCCCCGACGGCCCTCGCAGGGCACCGCTCACGTGGCCCCGAGAGCCCCAAGCGGCTCCAAAGTGGCGCGGACAGCTGAGGGCACCCTAGGCCAGGATCACCTTCAAAGGCAGGCCATCGGGTCTCTTGGCATGGGGGGAGGAGGAGGAGGAGGAGGAGGAGGAGGAGGAGGAGGAGGAGGAGGAGGAGGAGGAGGAGGAGGAGGAGGAGGTGGAAGAGGAGGAGGAGGAGGGGTGGCGCGAACAGCTGGGACCCCACTCTGGGCAGGGCCGCCTCCGGCAGCCCTCGGAACGAAGAGACGATGGCGGCGGCGGTCGGCGCGCAGCCCGCGGAGGCTCCAAGCCCGTCCGCGTCCTCCTGACGGGCGCGGGCGCGCCCTTGGCTGGCGCCGGGCCGACGGTGACCTCCGCTGCCACGAAGCGGTGACGCGCGCCTGGCGCCGCCGTGCGGGCGCCCCGCTGTCCCCCCCGCCGTCCTGTCTCCCTCCTCCCGCCTCTGTTTTTTTGTGTTATCGTTTTTTTTTTTTTTTTTTTTTTGTGTGTGTGTGTGTGTGTGTGTGTTTTTGTGTTTTTTTCCCACAGTGTGTGTGTGTGTGTGTGGTTTCTCCTTCCTGTGCCGCCTCCAGCCCGTCCTCCCCACCCCTCCTGCCAGATCCCTCTCCCGGCGCTCCCATCTGGCCTCCTGGCCCATGCCGCCTCCTGTCCCGCCCTCCATCGCTCCTCCTAGTCCGCCGTGCTGCCCGCCCCTCCCCTTTGCCTTCGATCCCAGCCTCGTCCTCATCCTCACCCTCAACCTACCCCTACCCCCTGCCCGCCCCTCCTCCCCACCCTCGTTCCCAGCCGCATCCTCAGCCTCCTCCCCTCCCTCCTCCGTGCCTCCTCCGGCGACGCTGACCTCTTTACGGCCACCGATCCTGGCCGGGGCCATCCCGAGCCCGAGGGTCGGGGGTGCACTGGCCCTCGGCCACACCGGGCAGGGCACGTGCACCGGCCCTCGGCCTGGCCAGAGTTGGTGAATGCGCACGGCCGTCTTCCTTCGGCTTCCTCCCCGGTCACCCCCGGGGGCGCGAAGAGTAGCGCGCTTCGCGCTTGGGCGGCCTGGTCTGGACAGGTGCCCTTCCCGAAGGGTCCGCGCGAGGGTGCGAAAGATGACCGGGCCTCGCGTCTTGCGCGAAGCGAAGAGGTGGAGCGAAGCGCGAGGCCACGTGTCCCTGCCATCCCTCCATTCTCGCGCCTCCCATCCCCCCCTGCAGAGTCCATGTCGATCCGATCGGAGGATTCGATATCGGCTCTGGCCGGCCCGATTCGATTAGACTTTGATATTCCGACGATCCGATGCGATACCCGAGACGGTCCGATCCGAGGGACTGAGGGAAGGATGGAGGGACATATTGAGGGATGGAGGGGGAAGAGGAGGAGGAGGAGGAGGAGGAGGAGGAGGAGGAGGAGGAGGAGGAGGAGAGAGGAGGAGGAGGAGGAGGAGAGGAGGAGGAGGAGAATGGGGAGGAGGAGGAGGCGGAGGAGGAGGAGGAGGAGGTGGAGGAGGAGAAGGAGAAGGAGGAGGAGGAGGAGGAGGAGGAGGAGGAGGAGGAGGAGGAGCACGGCGTTCGAGGGATGTCTCGGGCAGGGTTCGCGCGAGATTTACGCGGGTTTGTGACTGGCACCCGCGGGGCCCCCGACGGATTCCCGCGCTGATCCACGGGGCTCGCGGGGAGCTCGCGCGGCGCTCGCGCGGAGCTCGCGCGTGGACTTCGTGGGGCTTTGCGTGGCCTGAGCGGGTTTCGCGGGGTTTCGCTGGGCACGTCGGGGGGTTCGGTGGGGCTCGCGCGAGCCTCGCGCGGGGTCTCCGCTGGGCTCTCGCGGGTCTGCGTGGAGCTCGCGCGGGGTTGCGCGGGGCTCGCACGGGGCGCGCGCGGGCCTGGCGCGGGGTTCGAGCCAGGCGCGCGCAGGGCTCGCGCGCGGTTTGCCCCAAGACTCTCGTGGGGTCCGCGCTTGGTTCCGCTGGGCACGCGCGAGGCTGGTTTGGGCCCGCCTTGGGACCGTAGAGGGCAAGCCCCACGCTGCTGCGGGGTGTGCACCAGTGTCGCGCTGAGCTCGAGAGGGGGGGCGCAGGTCACGCGCGGGCCTCGCGCGGGCCAGCGAGTCTCGTTTCGCTCGGGGCACGCGCGGGCGCGACGCGGAGATATGCGACAGGATTGCGCGGTACCGACGCGAGCTTTCCGTGCACAGTCTTGCGCAATTGCCATGCTGTCTGGATGCGCAGCAAGGTTTGCACATGGCCTGGCTTGCACTTTGCAGATGTTTTGCTTTGCACGGCTCTCGCGGCAGGTGCACATGGTTCCCGCCTCTCTTCCCAGTGTGCCCGATGCAGGCGGCCTTGTGCACGCACGCCAATAGGGGCTTCCGCCATCAATGCAAGTTCAACGTACCCAGCGACATGTTGTACACCGCGAGCGGCCCGGGGTAATTTACAAACTCTTCTGGCCCAGGGAGGGGGGTTGCACTTGGATCCTCAGTGAGGCCTTCTTCGTCTGGCAGGCTGTTCCACGCTTCTCTTCCCGCTGTCTTCTTCGCCCCCCGCTGTCTGGCGTCAACGGGCGTGGACGGGGTGGGGAGGGGGGGAGGGCGCTGGTGACGTCACGATTCGCGCCGTCGCAGTCCGGGAAGGCTCAGAATTGCAAGTGCCTACACGGCGCCGGCGCGAATCGTGACGTGACCCGGGGGGGGTGAGGGGGGGGGGGAGGGGTCGGTCACGGGCGTCAGCTGTCGGGAGCGATCAGAAAGAGCGGGCTCCTGCCTCGCCCGCTCGTTCGTCTCACCTGCTTCCCCGTCGTGTCCGCGCCCATGCCCTCCCCTGTGCGCTTCCCTGTGCTGTCCTGTGTCCTCGGCGACTGCACTTTGGCCGGACTTGTGCGCGCCGCCCCGGCCCGGCGCTGTGCCCTGCGGCGGCGGGCCTGCGGCAGCAGCAGAAAAGAGGGCACCCCGCGACGGGGCCGCGACTCGCGGAGGGGGGCGGCGGGCCAGGGGCAGGGGGAGGCCCCCCCCGTGCGTCGGAGGGCGAACGGCACGCGACGCATGCCGGAAGGAGGCCTCGTGCCGTCCTGGGCCCCACACCGTGGGCGCCGCAATCTGGGCCCGCTGCGGAAGAGGGGGCCGCCTTCGGGGGATCGAGGAGCCCTGGCAGCTCCTCTTCGGCGCCCGTGGCGGGACGTTTCTCGGCGATTCTCGGCTTCGGGGGGAGGGGGTCCTGACCTCTGGGGGCCCACGCTGCGAAGAAGGCACGACGTCGGGGGTCCGGGGCACGGAAGGTGGCGCGAGGCCAGCTGAAGCCGTCGGACGCGGGACGAGGGCGGCTCGGCCACGAGACGCTGGCGGCAGGCTCGCGGAAGTCTGGCGGAAGCAGAGGCTCGTTCCCCAACGGGTGTAGGCTCCTTTGTCGCGTGCGGGCGCGGAAGGGGTGCATGTGTGGTCCCCGGCCTGCGTCTCAGAACCGCGCTGACTCCGGGATCCAGTTTGGCACCCCATGCTGTGCTATGCTGAGCTGTTCTATGCTTTAACACTTGGGCCATATAGAGTATATGGTAAGCAGTGCTATCTACCAGTGGTCTGCTATGACATCTACGCTATGCGGTGCTGTGGTCTGCAATGCTCCGTTCTGCTCTCCAAGGTGTTATGTTTGCTATCATGCTTTGCATCGCTAAACCACGTGCTGCGATATGCAACGCAATGCTCGGAACGTGGTTCCATGCTAAGCCATGATTTGCTGTACGATGCTCGGCAATGCTGTGCCATGCTATGCTTTTACCGTTGCACTGCTATGGAAGCGCCCCCCTGCCTTTCGGAAACGCCGATGCGGCCAATTGGTGGGCCAACTTCTGGCAGAGCTATTGGACTACTGTATGTGCTCTCCCCAGCCGTTGTGGACTCCCTTGGGGGAACATCTGGGAGAGAAAGAGAAAGGAGGATCAGAGGGAGGAGAAGGAGGTCGAGGAGTAGGAGGAGGAGGAGGAGGAGGAGGAGGAGGAGGAGGAGGAGGAGGAGGGACAAGATGTAGGCCCCTTGAGGCCGTCTTATGGCTTCCTGGGGGCTTCCTGGGAGCCGCTTGAAGGCCTTTCAGGGGCCTCTTGGGGGCTCCTGCTGCCCTTCGGGGGTCTCCTGGGGCATCTTGGAGAGCTCTTGGGGGCATCTGCTCAGGGGACCTCTTGGCCTTCGAAGGCCGTCTTGGGGGCCTCTCTGGGCAGTCGTGGGTCCCTCTTTAGACGCTTACGGGCCGTCTTGGACGTCTGTGGTGCCGTCTTGGGGCCCTTCTGGATTTGCTTTCCCTCCAGCGCCAGGCTCCTGCTTGTGGTCACTCTGCTTGTTTGCTTGTTTCCATGCTTTTTTTGTTTTAATGGCTGGGCAGCCGCCCAGCGCTGTCAAAGGGAAGCTCCCTGTGTCTGCGGCAGCATCTCAGAACCCTACCCGATCTCGCATCACTGGTGGTGTCCTGTCCTCTGGGAGGCGCGCCGTCGCGATCTGCACGTTGTTTTGCCCACCTGGTAGTTATGCAACTTCTCACTTTGCTTCTCTTTCCACCCCTCACATGCTGCCGTTCCGTTCCACTCCATGTCTACTGCTGTTACGCAAGCCATGCCTACCTTTTTGGCACAGGCTTGCCCTCGCGTGGCTCGCGGTTAGCTTGTTGCACGTTGAAAGCATGCTGTCGCCCGAGGTTCGTGTTCGTCGTGTTGAGCAAGCGAATGACATACCGTGTTGTAGATTTGCACGAGGAGCCGGGGGCGGGGTGTCCAAGTGTCAAGACGCCTCAGGCATAGACTAACGCCGGCCAGCACAAAGCTGGGTCGGCAAGGGCCCCGTCGCGATGCCCGGCTGGTGCTGTTTTATTTCTCAACCAACCTGCGGTGTTGGGTCCTCGTTTTATTGAGACGGTCCCCGCGTTCCTCATCCCTCCTTCCTTCCTCCCCCTCCCCCTCCTCCCTCCTCCCCATCCTCCCTGCGTTTCACCCACCCAGTACAGCAGGGTGCTCCACCGAAGGCCCCGGCGGCATGGTTCGCATGGCGGCCTCGGGCCATTGCGGCACACCCCTCACGAGGATGGTGGCCCTACAAGGAGCTCCACCGAAGGCGCCAGTGGAAGGGTTCGCATGGCGGCCTCGGGCCATTTGGGCACACCCCTCACGAGGATCGTGGCCCTATAGGGAGCTCCATCGAAGGCCCCAGTGGCAGGGTTCCCATGCCGGCCTCGGGCCATTGCAGCACCCCCCTCACGAGGATCGTGGCCCTATAAGGAGCTCCACCGAAGGCGCCAGTGGCAGGGTTCGCATGGCGGCCTCGGGCCATTGCGGCACACCCCTCACGAGGATGGTGGCCCTATAGGAGCTCCACCGAAGGCGCCAGTGGCAGGGTTCGCATGGCGGCCTCGGGCCATTGCGGCACACCCCTCACGAGGATGGTGGCCCTATAAGGAGCTCCACCGAAGGCGCCAGTGGAAGGGTTCGCATGGCGGCCTCGGGCCATTTGGGCACACCCCTCACGAGGATCGTGGCCCTATAGGGAGCTCCACCGAAGGCGCCAGTGGCACGGTTCGCATGGCGGCCTCGGACCATTTCGGCACACCCCTCACGAGGATCGTGGCCCCATAGGGAGCTCCACCTCAGGCCCCAGTGGCAGGGTTCGCATGGCGGCCTCGGGCCATTGCCCCATAGGGAGCTCCACCGAAGGCGCCAGTAGCAAGGTTCGCATGGTGGCCTCGGGCCATTTGGGCACACCCCTTACGAGGATCGTGGCCCCATAGGAGCTCCACCGAAGGCGCCAGTGGCAGGGTTCGCATGGCGGCCTCGGGCTATTTCGGCATACCCCTTACAAGGATCGTGGCCCCATAGGGAGCTCCACCGAAGGCCCCAGTGGCAGGGTTTGCATGGCGGCCTCGGGCCATTTCGGCACACCCCTCACAAGGATCGTGGTGTCAGGGTTCGCATGGCAGCCTCGGGCCATTTCGGCACAGCCCTCACGAGGATCGTGGCTCCATAGGGAGCTCAACCGAAGACGCCAGTGGCAGGGTTCGCATGGCGGCCTCGGGCCATTTCGGTACACCCCTCACGAGGATCGTGGCCCCATAGGGAGCTCCACCGAAGGCCCTAGTGGCAGGGTTCGCATGGCGGCCTCGGGCCATTCTTGTACACCGCTCACAAGGATCGTGGCCCCATAGGAGCTCCATTGAAGGCGCCAGGGTTCGCATGGCGGCCTCGGGCCATTTCGGCACACCCCTTACAAGGATCGTGGCCCCATCGGGAGCTCCACCGAAGGCCCCAGTGGCAGGATTCGCATGGCGGCCTCGGGCCATTTCGGCACACCCCTCACAAGGATCGTGGCCCCATCGGGAGCTCCACCGAAGGCGCCAGTGGCAGGGTTCGCATGGCGGCCTCGGGCCATTGCGGCACCCCCCTCACGAGGATCGTGGCCCCATAGGAGCTCCACCGAAGGCGCCAGTGGCAGGGTTCGCATGGCGGCCTTGGGCCATTACGGTACACCCCTCGCGAGGATCGTGGCCCCATATGGAGCTCCACCGAAGGCGCCAGTAGCAAGGTTCGCATGGCGGCCTCGAGCCATTGCGGCACCCCCCTCACGAGGATCGTGACCCCATAGGAGCTCCACCGAAGGCGCCAATGGCAGGGTTCGCATGGCGGCCTTGGGCCATTACGGTACACCCCTCACGAGGATCGTGGTCCCATAGGAGCTCCACCGAAGGCGCCAGGGTTCGCATGGCGGCCTCGGGCCATTTCGGCACACCCCTCACGAGGAGCGTGGCCCCATAGTTGTGCTGCTTCAACAACCGCGCCTGGTCGTCGTACGCCGCCTTGTCAACGTGCAACGCCACCTCCTCCCTCATGGCTCTCAGAGCCCTCTCCTGCTTCTGCTCCTCGCTCAGAGGGACGCCGTCCTCATCGTCGTCGGCGCCCGCGAAGACGGCCACGAACGCGTCCCTGAGCATGTCGGGCTCCGGCGGGAAGCCGTGGCCACAGGGAGCGCGGGCGAAGATGGTATTCACAATTGCGGTAGTCACAACTGCATATGGTTGGGTCCTTCGCCAGGCTAATTTTCTTCGAAGGCTCGCAGGAAGGGCCCGCTTGGAGTGGCTGTCATAACGAGAGTGAAGGGAGTGAAAGTACACAGCGAATATTGTTAGATGAGGAGGAGTAGGTGGCGGAGGAGGAGAGAGAAGAGGAGAAGGGAACAAGAGGATCAGGGGGAGGGAGGAGGGAGCTGGAGGAAGGAACATGATGATGGAGGTGGCGGAGATGGTGGTAGCGGTGGCGGCGTGCCAGCACATATCCGGCTGCGCCGCGGCTTCGCAGTGCCGGGGGGCGCGCCATCACCACCTCCCGCGCACGGGGCGCGCGCGGGCGATGCGGGGGGAATGGCCGCGCTGGCGCGCGCAGGGACCGCGCATCCCAGCTTGCCGCCTTCAGCAGTCTAGAGGTACCATTCGCCAGTGATGCGGCCAGTCGCCACCGCAAGAAACAAAAACCGCATCCGAGGCCCACGGCCTCCTGCTCCAGATCTGGATTGGTGCTCGCCGTCCCTAAGAGATGCGACGTGCGACGCTGTCGCCATTTGCGGAATCCTCGGGGGGGGGGGCGCCCGCTTGGTGACATGTTCCTGCCCCTGCCGCCTCCCTGCCGTTTTCATCGTTTGCCCTCGCTCCGTACCAGCTTTCGCATCCCCGCCTTTGTCTTCACTTTCCCCTCTGTGGTCCCACATCCGACTGCATCGTGTAACACGCGAGTCTCCCATTGAGCTTTCACGACGCAAAAGGGATCTTTGCCATGCCGGTGTCCCCAATGATGTGGTTCATGTTTCTTGTCTTCGGGGTCCCCAAACGGGGTGGTGACCACACCGTGTGGTGAGTCGGAGGGAATTCGGGGTCACCTCACGGTTTTGGGACTCGGGTTGTTCCTCGAGGACGTCTCG